AGGACTTGTCCAAGCAGTCACTGCAGAGTCGGTAACGACTGAGCGCAGATTAAAAAAAAAATTCAGAGACACTGAGTCCCCAAGGGGTAAGAATTTCATTAGGGAGTAGATTTTGCTAGACCTATGTGGGTCTTATAGTGAACCCAGAAGTACTGTATCTTTAGGAGTCAAATTAAAACCTTTTTTCCTAGGACAGTTCTTACTCTATATTTGCATGATACAGTACCAACAAAGCTAACTTTGTGGACTCTTTGGATCCATACTTAGGCGGTGGCCGCTAGTTCCTTGAATTCGGGGGCTGGCAGCCAATGAGTTGAACATTTGAAAGTATGTTATGGGCATTCTCTGAAAACGTCCTGCCTCCAGCCTTTCTACAGAACTGAGCAGACTTTCAAAGTCTGTTCTCTTAGTATAATGCAGAAGTGGTTTGCTACTGCTTTCTTTCAGGACTGTTTCTGACTACTCAGTTTAGCCTACAGCCCTATTTTTAGGTGGTCTCCCATCCAAATACTGACAACATCCAACTGTGCTTAGCTTTTTAAGATCACCCAAGGCTGCTGCTGCTGCTGCTGTTGATGATAATGATGATTCTCATAAAGGTGATGCTAGAAGCTGGCATTTGGCTTGGCAGACTCACAGATTTCCCATTTGCTTTTGAATAAAAGGATATTTAAAAAATCAAATGTTCACAAAAAAAAAAAAAAAATCCTCTCATCTGCAGCCTTGCATCTCTATGTAAGAAATATTTCCATAGCAGACTACTAATCTCTCACCTTCACTCCAGATATGACTTTGTAGAAGTGGAGGATATTTCCGAAATTAGCACCCTCATCCGAGGACGATGGTGTGGATATAAAGAAGCTCCTCCCAAAATAACATCAAAGACAAACCAGCTGAAGATCACCTTCAAATCAGATGACTTCTTTGTGGCTAAACCAGGATTCAGGATTTATTATTCCCTGGTGGTAAGTAACATGATGGTGTCTGGAAAGGAAACAAATGACTGCAGTAGGGTACAAGAAATTATGGGAGAAGGAGGGGAGCGTAATAAACTTCAAGTTAAGATAATGAATATTATTTCCTTTTGGACAATACTTAGTCTTGATGAAATCAGCAGAAGAGGGAAACAATTAATTCAAACTCACCACTCTTCACTTTAATAACATGTATAGGAATACTGTACATTTGGGGCTAGAAGCAATCAGGTGAATGCAGTGACAGAGACACCCCCCCCCCCAAAATAAATACTGTGAAAGCAGACACTCTTATTAAGTTCCAACGTGATCTCATTTGAAGTCAGAGAGGGAGAAAATGCCTTCAGGGGTTGAAGTTCATGAAGCTACAAAATACACACAGGTCATCAGCAATAAAAGTTGCAAATAGGGCTCAGAAAATTATTATATTTTGGACAGATTATGGGAAGATCTAGCTCTCTAGAGAAAGCTCTAATGCTGGGAAAGGTGGAAGGAAAGAGAAGGTCAGAAGCAAGGTGGATGGACTCAGTTACAGTGGCAGTGAGTACATCGTTGGAAGACCTGAAGGACCATTGTAGGGGCAGATCATCATGGAGAAAATCTATCTATAAGGTCCTAAGAGTCTACACCAATTTGATGGCACATAATCAATCAAGGGCTTGGCATGATTAGCTGGTGGTTAATGTAGGCTCTGTGGCTTCTTTCCAGAATAGAGGCAATGTGTTGGAATATCCTCACTCTCTTAATCAGATTGAAGATATTGTTTAAGGAAGCAACATTTTTCTGAGCCAGTGTAGAATGGAGAAAGGAAGACATACCTCATTTCATTTTCCCAATCATGTACTATCAGCCCACCATACAGGGTTGTTGAGTGTGGAAAGTGGCCTCCTATGCCTGTATTATATAAATATAATAAATTGTGATAGATACTCCACAAGGGAAATCAGTTGATCAAGCAATCTAAAAATGAGAGTCATGCTTTAGCCGTTTGTGGTTAGAAATTTATTTTAAAAATAAATATACCAATTAGCAACTGTCTGTGGACAGAATTCTTATGAGCCAAGTAATTATATCAGTGTCACAGTAGTGACACTCTGCTTCTCATTAAATAAATTTCAAGACATGTTGAAACTTGAGCAAACTACGGAGAAAATAGTTGCTGTTCAGTTTTCTCCACCTTCTCTTTTTTACTTTATGGATTTCTATTAAGATTGGGCAGAGAAATTCTGCATTTTGCTGCAGTTGTCTTTCCATTGGGTCAGAGAGGGTTTGGTTTAGAATTTATTCCAAAGGAGATGAGAAATTCAGAGTTACAAGGAGGGGTAGACATCTGTGACTATCTTGTCTTTCATTGCATCACCATCTCTTCATCATTCTACTGTGTCCCTGGCTGTAATGGTATGTGGGAATGACCTTGGGAGACAGGAGGAAGAACCACAGAGTAGGCAGTGGTCAGACAAGTGAGGCAGCTGAGACCACAGAAGGAATGGAGGTGTGGCAAATGTCTCAGAAGGGACACTCCCTAGTTTCTTGGACTGAGGGGGGAGAGAGATAATTTCGGTCTTCCAAAATTTTGTTAATATAACCTTACAGTAAAGATAGAGCTAGCACTTCTGAGTGTGCTTCTTGTCTAGACTACCTCCCAAGGCTAACATCAGCTTCCAATGCTTCCATTAAGTTCCAGTAAAGAAAGCATCGGGATAGTATTTTTCCCATATGTCAGTGCTAAAAAGATGATTAAAGAGGGAGTTATGCCTTTGATAAATTGATGAAGAAATTCCTCTGGAGAAAGTCAAGGAAATAATTTCTCTGCCTACATATTTGATGGAGAATTTCAAAGGATCATTTTTGTTTTGATATTGCTACTGTCACTGGTAAGACAGAGTCCTGCTCTTGGACAATGTGGATGAAGAGAATCTGCAGCCTACTGCCTGGGAAAGTCTAGCTTATTGTTATTATAATGACCTATTATTATATAAGGTTGTGGAAAATTATTGGAATTACTGGAAAAAATGCTTTCTTGGTATGAGTTTAGTAAGGGGAAGATCCAGCCCTTTTAGAGAATGTTGAAGAAATCACTCAGCTAATTTCCCTGCTCACAAACTTAGTGGAGAATCTCAAATAGTATTTATGTCCACCTCTGATATCTATTATACATGCTAGTGAGTCAGATGATTTTATTATCAGCTAAAGCATTTCAAGACAATGACTAAGGAAGAGGAAACAGGATGGAAGCTTTAGTGCTGAAAAATCCAGAAGAATCCAGATCTTGGGGTCCCATTGGAGTCAGAATACTGAGTTAACTGAGGCTATTGACATAGCTCTCTAGAGCAGTTCTCATGAGTTAAGTTACTATACTGTAGAAGCCTTTAATTTGAAGGCAATTTAGCAAAACAACAATTTATGATATTGCTTTCCCTGGAGTACCACAATGCATAAAAATTAAGCACTATTGCTTTGTGTGATATTTCCAAAGGACCTCTCCTATAATTAGCGAGTTTTATGAGAAACTGTGTGCAGTTAATTTGAAACCCTGGGGCTTCAGAAAACAAGAAAATATATAACATTGCAAAAGAGCAGAGATTTGTGTTTTTTTCAGGAGTGGAAAATTGATGAATGTTGTTGCCAAGGGTCTGTGATGTCAAGGATGTGCACAGAAAGTCAATTTTGTTTGCCAGCAGCCTTTGTGAGAGAACATGGACCCATGTGCTCAGAAACCAGAAGGTCCTTTCTAGATTGTGAAGCCTCTGAGCATTTCATGCAAGTTTAAAGAAATAGGTCCAAACCTTTTTTTTTCTGCATGAAGATGAAAATAATATATAACGATCCCCATCTTTTATTCTAACACATTCATTCTGGGCATTCTGCATACACAAAAGCAAACTTTTCTAATTTGATACTCTCCAGATATGATGGACTATAAATCTCACAATTCTCCCCAGAGCAATCAATTGAGAATGATGGCTGTTAAAGACAACCATAACAAGTAGGCTCTAAACTTGGAGAAATGGAGTGAGATGTCACAAGCTGCTTAGATGTCTCTTTAAGTACTCCATTATGTGGAATCATATGCAATGGTTGTACCAGTGCCATATTGAAAAGTTCTCTGGCATTTTTAACTGTTCTACAATTTGATGAAAGCAAATTGCTTTCAGATGAGAAGAGATGTTTGGAAACATTCTCATCAGTGGAGTGTAAGGGCTTCACATATGATTTATTTATTTAAAATATTTGTATCCTGCTTTCCTTTAAAAAAACAACAACCTCAAAGCAGTTTATAATTAAATTATTCAGGGGCATGTGAAACTGTTTTAGTGTACAATCCTTTCTCCAGAAGTCTAAATCCTTCCTGGCCTGCCACACTTGAAAGACATTCCAAGGGAAGAAAACAGAGAACCCCTCTCATCTGACCTTTTCAGATTGGGAAGTGAGGGCAACCAGAGAGGTTTCAGGATGATAAAAAGATCTGTAACAGAAAACAGTATTGCCAGAAGTAGTATGTGGGGATGATCTTGGGAGACAGGAGGAAGAGCCACAGACTAGATAATAGTCAGACAAGTGAGGCAGCTGAGACCACAGAAGGAATAGAGGTGTGGCAAACCTCTCAGAACAGACCGTCTGTAGTTTCTTGGACTGTAAAGGTGAAGGGGGAGAGATGTACTTTCAGACTTGCAAGATTCTGTTAATGTAACCTAACAATAAAGTCAGAGCTAGTACTTCTGAGTGTGCTTCTGGTCTGGACTATTCACAAGGCTGACAAGTAATACTGTCCACCAGCTGAAGTTCAAGGCACCACCAAGAAAAATTCAAAAGAAATGTTTCCAACAGACTGAAAACTAGATGCCTGTCAACAGCAACATTCTCTTCTATCCACCTTGTATTTGTGAAAAAAAGTGTCATGTTAACTGGGCTGGAGAGAAATAAGCTTGCACATGCCTTCTGTTACAGTACTGAACGGCTTTGTGGTGCTTCTAAAGTTTCTGAATTCCCCAGTATGTGATGAGGTTGTGGCTCTGTATTTCCCCTTTTTATAAAAAGAAAATATGGAGTAAGTCCTGAGCCAATCCTTATAATTAGTAATGGGGCAATGGCCTGATAGTGGCTGCAGATATAAAGGTACATGAATATCTACAGCCACTATCAGGCCATTTTAGATGAGTATGATTTATCAACATGGAGTGGTTTGCCATTTGTTTTTTCATATGAATGGACTTATCCTGAGTGAAAACACCATTTATCACTTTAAGAAGAAAGCAACGAGAGACCTCTTCCATATTGTTGCCAAGAGAGTAGCATGGATGATCTATATAATCACCAGAATTGAGCTCCACTGAGGGGCGACTTGGCTTCCTAGCCTCTTTAGGGTTTTTATAACATATAACCTCAAAAGGAAGAAGGGATGGGAGAGATGGACAAGAGGGAATTCAACTTCCAGACAATCAGACAACCATCACCAAAAGGATATATGTGGCACATTTGGGAAGATTCTCAGAGAGGTAGTGACAGATTGGTACATCAGGGAAGTCACCACAGTATTTGTGGGTGCTAATGCTTCAGGCTTGGAAGTTTCCACCTCTTAAAAGAAGAATTGTTAAACAGAAAGCAAAGTGACAACCTCTGGCATAATCTTTAACATCATCTTAATTTATATGAATGCCTCTAGGCCCTGTATTGAGTTAGAAAATTTAAAAAATGGCAAGTGGTTTCAGTCCAGTGCTTTATTTGGAATGATGCTCATGTGTCCAGAAAGAAGACAAAAGTAACTTCAGGTGATAGAGAGAAAAGGTCACTAGTTTGCCCTACAGTAAATCAGTGTTTTGTGATTACCACATCCATCATCATAGCCATGCACTGATCAAGCAACCCCCAACAGCAGCCATCCCTGGAAACATCCACAGCATGATCTCAAAGTGCCAAATGTGCAGCCCAAAAAAGTTGTTTACTTCTGATGTCAATCTGCTTTTAAATATTTTGGACATATGAAGCAGCAT